GTGGGGCAGCAGCCCCTCCTGTGGCCCCGGCAAGCCTGGTCCCTGTTGGTGGGTGGTCAGCAGGTGGTCTGGGGCAGCGTGTGGAGGCCCAGCCACTCGCCTAGGGAGGGGTGGGCCTGGACAGAATGCCCCCACAGGGCCCGCCCTCAGAGCAGGACACCCTCCCGTAGGATGGGGCGTGGCACAGGCTGGGCGCTCGGCAGGACCGGCGCTGCCCACTCCCCACACCCACCATGAAGCTTGTAGGGGACGAGCTGGAAAAGACCTCAAGGGCCAGGCCTACGAGGAGGGGAAGGTTCTAGACTCCAGGCTCAGCAGAGGTCAGGAGTGGAGAGAGCTGTCCCCACCCCCCTTGCCTTTGTGGCTTTTCTCAAAGCCCTTTCCCAGCCTCAGCCCAGCCAGGATGGTGCAGGCCTCTGAGAATGGCAGGGGGGAGGCGGGAGGAGGCCTTGGGGGGCAGCTCTGCACACAGGACCGCTGTGCCTGCCTCCTGGTGATGGGAGGGTGTGGGGTGCCGGGGGGGCTGGCGCACAGGGCCCCCACAGAGCGGCTGGCACATCTGTAGAGCCTGGCTCCTGCCCCCCACAAGCCGGCAAAGGCTGGGGCACTTCTCAGCACCATGGGGCTGGGGCTCCTGGCTGCAGGCCCCCTCTGCTCCCCGTCCCCTCCGGCCCCAGGCTGGGGTTGCAAGGGGCTGACAGCCTGTGTGTCCTGCCCTTCGTCCCTGTCCCCAACCTGCTCCAGGCTGGGGAGTGGTGTGAAGTGACACCCTCACTTGTCACAGAGTGGGGGGGTCCCAGGGGTGGCACGGCTGCCCATCTGCCCAGGTCGCAAGCTCTGAGCACAGAGACACTTAGCGCCCCAGGACGGAGCACCTCAACCCCGCCTGATCCGAGGCCTCGCGGGGCACCTCTCCAGGGAGTCTCTGGGGGTCGTTCCTCCACGGTGGGGGCTGCTGCTCGGGGTACAAGACCCCCGTCCTGGGCACCGACAGAAGACCCGGGGCCCCCGCGAAGGGCTCAAGCCTGTCCTCTCTGCAGACGCTGAGGCCGACCCCCAGCAGAGCAGGGCGTCCTCTCCCATGCGTGGTCAGCAGCCACAGTCCAGCTCAGCACGCATGGCCCCGGGGCCTGCCTTCCGGGGCAAGGACAGAGGGCAGCGGGCCACCTGGGTACCTGGCAGGGAGCGCAGGTGGGGCCCCTGCCAAGGGCAATGAACTTGAAATCAGACCCCAAACTTCTTGTGGGCCCCCAACTGCAGAACCAACCCCCCTGGGTCCCGACCCCTACCAGCCAGGGTGGAGGTGAGGTCAAGGGACAGCACAGAAGGCGCCTCAGAGACCCCCTGACGCAGGGGTGGGGAAGCAGCTGAGGTCGGGCCCTCGGTCAGAGGGAGACCCCCTGGGGAGGCCCTGGCCAGCGTCCAGGGCCCTGCGGAGGGGCCCAGGAGGACC